CCTAAAATCACTTTTTAACTTAATTTCTTTCTTAATTAATTTAAACTTAATTTTGTTTAATTTTCATTAACCATTTTCTTTAATTAGGTCAAGACTAAACCCTTTCATAAAACAACAAAAATATCATTTTCTTTTTTACATTTGCATTTTATCCTTATTTTGTATATTTATTCAAATTCAATATGGTTGTAATAATTATTTTAGATTTAATATCTTGTAATATTCCCCATTTGTAAATTTGTATACCCCTCCTCTAAGTATTGTAATAGTGTAGTAATTTTAAATTCCATAATTTATCGCTTTATATACAAATGCTAGTAATTAGGGTTTTGTATGGAAAGACTAAAACCAACAAATAGCAAACCCTAACCAAAGACAAATCAAGCATGAAAAACAATACACTTGCACACAAGCACCCCTAGGGTAAATCCACGTGGTTGCCTTACAAAAATGGTCATATTACGCATGTGAGGTATCTTAGCAAAGACAAGCAAAATATAAGATCATAGTCCCTCGATGACGCTATCAAAAGTTGCCTATCAAAATGATCTTAGTCCCTAAAGAAAAACGCTAAGATATCTTGCAACATTGCTAATCATGGTTATACGATGACCCACGCCCTTCCCGTTTACATCCAAAGATAAGGTTACTTACCAAATCAATGGTAAGATGACAATGTCAAAGGAAAAAGGAAATGAACATGAAAGACTTTTGAGTAGGTAGAATGTTCCTAGTTACTTGCTCCATTTCAAAACAAAACATCCTTGCTATTTTCAAAACAAACACCAACACTTCCAAATATCTTTCAAAACTTGAAAACATTTTCAAAAGATCAACACCTTTGTATACATTCTTACGAACGAGAATCGTTACAAAAGTTTGTTTAAACAATGGCCTCTTTTCAAAAATACTTCAAAAAAAACCCACACAAAGCACATTTTCAAACAAAAGCAAGTGATCTAGCAAGTAACTAAGAACCCATGGAAAATCATGGATGAAAAAGGTGTTAATACCTTCCCTTTCCATAATCTACCCCCCGAACTCAAGAAATAATCTCAAAGGTCTTTCCTGTACTTTTTCACCTTTTCTTTTGGATAAAAGAAAAGTCAGTGGCGACTCTTGCTAACCGCAACATTTGCGATCAAACGCAAAACACCCAAGTCAGTTCTCCCACCGTATCACAGAACTGGCGACTCACTTACGAAAAAATGTGATGTATTTTAAATCGTGCATACTTCTGATTTTAGAAAGAGTAATTTTGAATTTTAAAAGAGTGAGTCTCCACCGTTAACAATGGGAAGAACAACTCCAAACTAACTAAGCATAATACAAACAACCCCATAAAATCAATAACTAATTTAACTGAAAAATATACTAAATATTTATAAACTTTAACAAATTCTGTCATTTTCGGCTAAAAGAAAAGAAAATGGTCTCATTTTGATTTTTTTTTTATGATGAATATTAGATATCTACCTATCTTTTTATGTGAAATTTTTTTTTTTTTTGATAAGCATGAAATATTTAATATTGATTATATTGTCTTGTTTTGGTGTCTTATAAATATAATCTATCTCATGGTATAAAGATATGTTTGTGAAATTTCTTTAAATGTTTTAGTCCCTTAAATTATAATCGTGAAAGTTTAGATTACAAAATAATTAATAACTTAAATGATTAAAGTGTTTATGATAGTTTGAAGACAAAATATATACCATTTAAATGATTAAAATAAAACTATTATTTTTTATTAGGAACAACAAAACAGACCGTCTGTCTCGTTTTTCTCCATCTTAAATTCGTTAAAATAACAGAGCGGGCAAACCCATCAAATAAAAATAGATATAAAAATTTAGTTCGTCTGATCAAAATGGTGGATTGGCGGAAGGCGAACTTATTTGCCTATTTTTTTATTTACTTATTTCCGTCTATTTATTTATTTATTTATTTTCATAATTTTAATAATTTAATAGATTTTTTTTATATTTCAATTAGATTTTTCATAAAGCATATTTTTAACAATTTTTACTTAAAAAATATTATATATTTATAAATAAATATATAAAATAAAATTATTAAAAATTAAAGTTAATAAACTAAAAGAATCGACAGAGCAGATTTTGAAGAGCGATGGATTTGGCGGAGCAAACTTTAACATATAATACATTTTGATGGAACAGATTTTAATCCTATTTTGGTGGACGTAGAACCAAAATTTCAATCTAACCTATTATTTCTTAGCGGATGCACAAGTACACTTTACCGTCCATAATTTTTATGAACTAATAAAAATTTGTACAAAACTTCTGTCATTGATCACATGTTATTTGGATGAAATCACCTTATTGATAAAAATACTATTTTACATGTTTATGAACAGCATGTGGTAGCAGAGTTCTTTAAATAGCAATATAAATTCAACATATTAACCGTGGGGATTCTTTTGTTTACAATTTTAATATTACTCTCTCTACATTTTTTTATTCTAAAATAATTGTTTGTTTATAATATCATTGTAATTTATTATTATTTTTTCTATTATATATTTATTCAATTAACTATTTCTTTAATTATAATTAATAAAATGTTTAAATAAGTTATAGTCATTTATTATTAAAATTAACACTAATAATGATTTCCAACACACATGAATCGATTTTTTATTTTATTTTCAATTATATGAATAATATTTTTATATATAATAAAAATTATATAGAACTAAAGAAAAATGAATAACAAGTTGTTTAGCTAATTTTTTTTTGGATGTCATTTCAATTATGTAAAAAATTATATTTATTGTCTTAAGAGATATAACATTATCACACATGAGCTTTTGAAATTTATTTTGTAAATGATCCACAACCTCCAATGTTAAGAAACATAGAGTGTTAAAGACAAATGATATACACACATGCTGATGAGTCAAACAAAAACTATTTTTTTTTAGATGTATTAAATAATTTATACTCTTTTCATATTAAAATATAAATAAAAATATTCATTTTTTATAAGGAACTATAAGAAAAGGCATATTATCTTATTCGAGTGGAAAAATTCAATTTACTACCTAAAATTATGAGGAAAGAGCATTTGCATCATTTTGATAGAGAATTTTGCTTGGATTTAATCAAGAAGGCAATGTTAGAACAAGATTTGGTTCTGCGTATAATCTTTGAGTTTTGATGATAATAATACATATATTTTATATATAACAATTTTTTTATCTAATAGTTTCTTGAGTGTATTGATAAAATATTATAATTGATTCAGGATTGTTGTCTGAAGAATCATCAGAATTGTACTTGGCATGTCCCAAAAAGACTATTCCATCGGCTTTTGAAGAAACATCAGTAGTTCTAATGAATGTTGAATGTTCGCCAGAAAAAGGATCCACGCGTACTTCTCCAGATAAACTATTGCTTCAGAAGTCACAAGTGTGTCCAGAAAAAAGATCTTCATGTGTGAAGATCAGATGTCAAGTTTTTGCTTCAAAGATCAAAAATCAAGATAAAGTGCTTCTCGTGATAAGTTTTTGTTTCCAACTCAGATATCAAGAAACTGCTTCTAAGATAAGTTGTTACTACAAGTCTGAAGACAAGGTTCTAATTCTGAAGACTTTAATAGTTTTGGGAACATTACAATGAATTGTCTTCTGGAATATTTATCAAATCAAATCAGAAACATTCCATCAAAAGATTAAGAACAAAAACATGATCTCTTCTGCGCTCTCGTCCTACTTCAGATCAGAAGTATTTTTGTCAGAAGAAAATATCAGAAACTTGCACAAGAAGAATACAGTACAACTAGTACAAGACCTATTCCACTATGGCGAAGACTATGATGTACGAATGGAAAGGATTTGTCTCCCGTGTTTCGATGCCACTGTTGTAGCAGCTGGCAAAAGAAAGTGACATTTTGTCTATCCAACGGTCTTCTTTCTCGGCCTATATAAAGGGATGACCACTTCATTTAATGATAACAATTCACGGAAAAACAATTGAAGCATCAAACTGAAAAGTTATTGTGCAAAGAAAACAAGAGAGAAAATATTCAAGAGATATTCAAAAACACAAAGAGTTGTTGCTCAGATTTATGTTAAATTATACTCTCTATAACACAAGAGTTGTTGCTCATTATTTTGTTATTATCATTGTTGTATGCACAACAGTTGTTGCTCATATTTGTGTGTAAATATTTATTCTTTATTGTAGTGTTAAATATACTTTTTAGAAGCACTATTGTAAACACTGTTTGATTGTAAATCTTTCAAGATTTAATTTCATCAAGTGGCTAAATTGTAGTCCGTATACCATAACATTATTTCAAGATACGTGTTGTTCATGTCAACAGTTAAAGTTTCTTTGGCTTTTATGCCTAAAAGATAAGGATGGAATAAAACTACTTTAGCTTTTGTTTCTAAGGATGAAATTATTATTAACTTTACGGTACAAAATATTCCTCTATATTATTCAGTGTATTATTAAGCCAACATGCCTTAATAATATACTTAATAATGTAGAGGAATCTTTTGGACCATAAAACTAATAATAATTTCATCCTTAGAAACAAAAATCAAAGTAACTTTATTCCATTGTTATCTTATTATAGTCATAAAAACCAAAATAACTTTAACATTGACACGAACAATATCTATCTTAAAATAATGTCATGGTAACATGTAATAATGTCATGGTAACTTGTAATAATGCCAAAGTAATTTTAACAATTGAGAGACAACACCTATCTTTTAGGCATAAAAGCCAGAATAATTTTAAGAGTGATAGAAACAACACTTATATTTATATATTTATTAACTCTTTTATTGATTATACTATTTCTCTTTACATCGTTAGACGGATCCAACCAAATATATATATATATATATATATATATATATATATATATATTGCTAGTTTTGTAGTTCAACATCACAAGTTCCTCTCTTCATTCATCAAAGACTCTTTCTTGGTTATATATTTTTCCCAAGTAATCTCAATAACATGGATTCTGAACTCAATCTGATTGACATCTCTCCATATCTAGCAATGTCCGGTGAGTGTGATCAACAGATGACTGCCCTCTGTTATGAAGTGAGTCAGAATTTGAGGGAAAAGGGAGCATTGCTCTTAAAAGATCCACGTTGTACACTGGAAGACAATGATCGCTTTGTTGCTATGGTAGAGAAGTATTTTTCTAGTTCTCTAGAGTTTAAACTCCTCCACCAAAGACCTCAGTTACATTACCAGGTACTTACTTTGTAACACATTTTCTTTTCTCCATTCTCCAAACACTAGGTAGTATTTCATTTCTTTTCTTCTTTACAATAATTAGCAAGGTTTTAAAAAATAGCCCTCCATCGCAAAAACAACTACGACAAACTCGTTTCGGCAGGTGCTAATATTAAAAAGCAAATTGTGATTAATTTACGCCTCGAAAGTAACACGGCATTATCTATACCGAAGCCTTTACGAGACTTCAATGCAACAGTGACTATTTTTTAAAACCTTCCGTAATATATAGCTAATAATATAAATAGATGCATGTTGAAATGAGTGTGTGAGGTGTTTGTTTGTAGGTTGGGGTCACACCTGAAGGAATAGAAGTACCAAGAAGCTTGGTTGATAAGAAGATGAAAGAGGAAATGAAAAAACTGTCCAAAGAAAATAGACCAAGTGCTCCTCTTGGTGCTGATCTCAAATGGCGATACTTTTGGAGACCCAACAGCTGTTCTCAGCCAGTGATACCTGAAGGTTTTCCTGAATGGGAAGAAACCATGAATTCTTGGGGACAAAAGATGATGGCAGCAATTGAAGTTTGTCATTTGAATAATTATTATCATCATAATCCTCTATTACTCATAATTAGCTTGATTTAATTGTGTTAATTTCTTAAATATAGGTGGTTGCTGAAATGACAGCCATTGGGTTTAATCTTCCAAAAGATTCATTTACTTCCCTTATGAAACAGGTCACCACTCACATAATTTTTATTTTATTTTGCTATATAATTAATCAATTAACAAATGCTAATATATAAAAGAAAGAAAGAAAAAAATGGCTTAAAGGAACATTATAATATATTTGGGCGAATGTATAAGATGTATATTTTTGTGATGTACTAGGGCCCACATCTGTTAGCTCCAACAGGGAGTGACCTTGAAAAATATGGGAAGGAGGGAACGGTTCTGGCAGGTTATCACTATGACCTTAACTTTTTAACCATACATGGAAGAAGTAATTATCCTGGCTTAAATGTATGGTTGAGAAATGGGAAAAAGATTCCAGCAAAGGTTCCATTTGGATGTCTCCTAGTTCAGACAGGAAAACAGGTAACTTAAAGTAGGAACGGTAAAGCAAATAGCATGTTTGTTTTGACCGCAATTTAACGACTGAATAAGGGTTTAGAACCACATTCTCTAATGTATTCCTCACTTCCTCCAATTTTTTACACACTGAGTTTTAAATTGTTGATACCTTTTAAAATTTCATATAGATGGAGTGGTTAACGGGAGGGGAGTGTATAGCTAGCATGCATGATTTGGTAGTGACCAACCAAACAATTGATGCCATCAGTGAAGCGCAAGACCAAAAACGTTGCTTCTGGAGAGTCTCATCAACGGTGAGAATCAATTATTAGTGGACTTAATTTGAATCATACCAACATGTTATTATATCTATTTTAAAATAAACCTGGTTTAAATTTTTTTGCATATAAATTATGAAATATAATGAAACTGTTTAAAATATTAATATTTTTATTGAATGAACTTTATTAAAAATTTTGCAGTATTAAATGAAACAAATGAATAATAATAATTAATTTTTGTTGTTGTTAAGAGTGAACATAACATGTATATTAAAACAAATATTATTTGTTAAAGAATACATTTTTTTAAACTAAATTTTTTTTCTTTATGTAGTTGTTTGCGCACATAGCTTCTGATCAAATTCTGAAGCCATTGGGGTATTTTGAAAGATCACCGTTGGCAATCAAATATCCACCAATCATTGCAGAAGAGTATGTTGAAGAAGAGCTTAAAGTAATTCATGTTAAGGCAAATAAATAAATCTTATCATTTATAATTGTGTTAAAAAAAATTGTAACGCACCACTACTTTTTTTTCATTGGTCTCCTTGATAAAATAATGTTCTAGTTTCAGTATTATAAAAAGGGGTGGTATTCTCTCCTATATTTATTCCCTCAATTTTTTTTCAGTAAAGTTTGAATCATTGATTGAAAAAACTAAATATTAAAAAAAGAAATAAAGGGTTGATGAAGATCTAATGGTGCAGATTTCACTGCTCCCTCTCCTGTATAAATACACACAAGAGACAATCCTATTTATAAAAAGGGATGATTTTGCTCAATTTCGCATCCCAAGACAGTTTTAACAAGAAAAGAGAAGTTAAATTTTGGCAGCAGATTGCTATTTACAAAAAAATTCTAAGAAATCTCAACTATTGATTTCTTTATGTATCAACCGATCAGTCATCGTAGAACGAAGGGATAATATTAAGATTGAAACATCACCGTAGAGAATTCAAGCCTTTGATGGAATGATATTTGTGATATTTGTCATGTATTTAGCGGTAGTGGCTTGCAACTATATTACTGGGACTCTGATATGTCTTATGCCTTATGTCTTTTCTCTATTAAGTAATAGGTGACGACTAGAGTTAGCCATTAATCAAATCCCTCGTCATAGGCTATGTATAACAATCATCTGATGTCCACTTTTTTTAAGTTATATTTATGTAAAATTAGAAATATACTTTTGATATAAATCGGAAAATGTATTTTTAATTCCTAATAATAGTCATGCATGTGAAATGCTGCGGTCTCTAATTAAGTGATTTTGGTGGCATAGCTTATTAATACTACAAAGCTAGCTTAAAGGTTCAGAACCAATGGATTGCATGTTTGATGGCATGCATTCTCTTCCGTGTAAGATTGAGTAATGTCATATTTTTACACACACAAATAATATATATATATATATATATATATATATATATATATATATATATATATATATATATATATATATTTGCCTCACTTGGTTGACCATGCACCGATATTCCTTTAGTCTTGATTAACTACCGAGTCATCAAATTATTCTTTGTTGGAAAAGAAGAAGAAAAATATTTGTATATAAGCTATCTCAGACACAGGAAGCAAAGCAACGTGTGGTTCCTATTAATGCTTTGATATTTTTTCAGCCCCACTTGTTTTTCAATTCTTTTCCATGTCTATTATTAGGAGTCAGAAGTGCTTTTCCGATTTTAATTTTACTGTAAAATAAAGCGAATCTCAATAACGAATAAATTATATGTATGTGGAGGTTTGAGCCGGAAATATATTTTTGATTTTCAAAGATATTTTTAGAATTTCACGTAGTGCGCTAGAAAAACATGAGGTGAAATAAGAATTTTTTTTTTCTTTCTTTCATCCGATGTTAAACAACATCCTGTCATACTCTAAATTTGCCCGCCTTAGTGCTACCGTCAAAGTTATTTTCGAACTTTGGTTTTACAGAGTAAAATTTCTTTGGTTTAATTGCATTAATATTGAGAAACAGATTTGAACAAAATTGAGAAATAGGCGAAAGCTTGAAGACAGAGGGGAAGATCCAGTGCCGTTGTTGAAGAAGAGAAGGACGATTAGGATTTCATTATCTGAAACCACAATCGTCGTCGCTAGCCGCTTTCGCCGTACACCATAATCTTCAACCTCTCATCACTGGGAACCACCGTTCGTAAAATCTATGAAATCAAAGAAGGAAAAGAGATAAGTATCGGATCTAAGACAATATCGGAATCGCTACAGAGGGTAACTTAGGTTGTTTTTTATTTATTTATTGTTGATTGGGAATTTAGGAAAGGGGTTTGGTGAGCCGCCGTCGTGGGTGGATATTTAGGGTTTGAGAGTGAAAGGGAAGAGGGTTATTATTCGAGAGAGAGAGAGAGAGAGAGAAAGAAGGCTGTGAACTGAAGCAACGAATGAATAAAATATAAAAGATAAAAACAAACGCATGTTTCGTTCAAATCCAATACATGTGCATATATCTTAATTATCATACTCCCTCGTTAACATCCGCTAGATCATGATCAGACGGTCATAGGCCAAGTCCCAACCGACCCTCTCAATTTACTGAATAGGCCAGGCCCAACTAATTTTTACACACTCCTAGATCATAATTAAATTATTTTATTTTTTACTTTTAATTATATCTTCTCTCATATTATTTATTTTCTATCTATAATAGTAATTACTATTAGTAATATTAATTATCATATTTTTTTAATATTATTATTATAATTATTATCTATTAATTTCTTTTTTCTATTTACTATTATTTTATTTACAATGTAAATATTATTTATTTTTTATCCATGCGTAAATATTAATATTATTTATTATATCATTTAAATTGTTCTATTCCAAAATGCATATTATTTTCTTATATTATTTACATCAAATATTTTTTAATCATGCATTAACAAGATTTTTTGCAGTTAATACGATTAAAAAACACTTAACAAACAACAAACTATTTTTTGTAATTAACTAAGCTAATCAATTGTTTTTGCAAAAGGGTTTCAAACAGATTTTGACTAACCGCGCATTTAGTCAAAATCTCCGCAATCACTACTCCCGGTCAAAATGCGAGGTGATTCAAAGTACGTTTGTGACCCCTAAAAAACACCAACCCCATATAAAATTTAAATCCTGTTTCCCAAACTCAAACCTAAAACCTAATATCCTTGTGAACAAGGTAGATGAAAGGTGCCTAACACCTTCCTTTCGTTTAAAGAAGTCTGAAACCTAGAATCTATGTTTGTGAATTAGGATTTTCTATTAGATTCCCTTCTCTAAGATAAAAACTAATAATGACGGCTCTCATTAAAAAATCAGTGACAACACATCCCCACAAACGGGTTGGCCCATGACAGGCTCAGGCTTTAAACAGACCGGACTAAAAATCCCGGTTTATAAATGAGCCTCATTTGATTGACCAAGTCTAACCTTTCACGTATTACAATTTATTGGGCTGGCCTAGATTATGTTTATAATTTATTTTTTAAAATTAAAAAGTAGTTTTTTTTTAAATAATACATTACATAAATAAAATTTAAAAAGAGAATTAAAATTTCAAAGTCCAAACAAGTGATTTCATATTCAAAATCAAATTCAGTCATACAATATGGAACTGAATACAATGGTAAAATCTTACTGCATGGACAAAGCCAACGTTTAAACAATAGGACCTGGACATTTAAGAAGCAACGTTTCAAAATAACGTAGATATGTAATGACACGGTACATATGAAAATTGACAATTCATATATTGATTTTACCAATTCAGTATTCTACTCCAGAAAAAAATCCCCATCTAATAAATACATACGCAAGTATTCCCAGCCTAATATTATGTTAATGTCAAAATGATTCTGTCATTGCAATGCAAAATATGATGTGAATCTTAAACAAATTAACAAAATTGGTTTTGATATCATACATCATTCTCTTCAAATTTCAACATTAACATCAACAATGCTCCCAAGTATTTTAAATTATTTTTCATGAACTTCCAACATTAACATCACTAAATCCTAAACGTATAACCTATATGTTACTCCAGCTTTGACTTTATATACTAAGTTGCGACGTGATTTTCACGTCACAACTTGTGACGTGAATTTCACGTCGCTAATATTTTTTTTAAATTTAAATTTAATAACTAAATTTATTTTTCTTTATATAATTAATTAAATTAATAATCTTAATTAATAAATTCAATATAATAAATTAAATTAATAACTTTAACATATATTAAATTCAATATATAATAAATTAAATTAATAAATTCAATATATAATAAATTAAATTAATAAATTCAATATATAATAAATTCAATATTTAATAAATTCAATATTTAATAAATTCTATATATAATAAATTCGATATATTAAATTTAATTTAATAAAATTAATAAATTAAAATTATAAATTTAAGAACTAATTAATTAGTATGGTACACAAATTCAAACGTGAATAAATAAAAAAAATTTAAGTTTACGGGTCATCTTGGTTGGTATAATTGTCAATGTCAAAATCATCCTCGCTTTCATCATCCTCCGACTCTTGACCATGAAAGTTTTGATTTCCACCAAACTCTTGCATAAATTGTCGCATTTGTTGCTCCATATCAGCCTGCCTCTTCGCCATGACCTCCATTTGTCGTTGTTGATCTTGTCTCATTGCCTCCATTTGGGCTTTCATTGCCGCCTCACGTTACGCTGACTCGCATCTCACCTCATTTAACGCTAATTGTTTTACCGTTTCAAGTTGTTCTGGTGTCAAATTTGGTTGACGTGACCCCCCTTCCCCATCTCTAACTCTTTGAAAGAGAGTTCTATCCCCACTTCTCAAGGAGCCCGCCAAATTTTCACCACAAAAAAAACAACCATTAGGGCCTTTTCCGCCAATGACTTGATCCCAAATATAAAAATTCACATCTGGATGAAGCGGCTCTCCCTCTCCCGGAGTATATTGAGGATTATGAATTAGAAAATTTGCGAGCAATGTCTGATAATCCTCCTATACATTCAATAAAAAAATTAAGTTAAATATTTAATAAATTAAATTAAATTAAATTAAATTAAATTATATTATATTAAAAAAGTTGCCACGTGATTTTCACGTCACGACTTGTCAATTGCCACATGATTTTCACGTCACAGTTTATCAGTTGCCATGTGATAATCACGACACAAAATTGTCATTAAATAAAATTTTTTTAAACAATAACTTAAATTAAATAACTTACAAAGGCTTTTAGAGTGCGTTCGTCAACAAAATCTCCGATTTTCTTTGTTCGAGTCTTTTTAACCAACTCAATCATCAATGGATGTCTCCCCAAATTCTTGGTCTAATTAATAGTAAAATTAACATTACTTAAAAAATATATTATGAATCAAAATATAAATTAAAAAAGTGATAATATTTACCATGCGTCGAACATGCTCTTTGGTACTTATACTTCCAACTGCATTAACACAACCCC